TTTATTTATATGGGTATCTTAAGGTCAGTTTTTATGCTAATGTTGCTAATGCACCATTTGAGCGAAAAAAAAATTGTTAAGGAAAAATTTTCTGTTAGCGAACCCTTTGTTAAATATTTCGAATATCACCACTGTATATAATTATAATAAAGTTACAATAAATTAAGTTAATATATAATTATATATACAGTACCTAATTTATATATAATTAATATATAATTATATGTACAGTACCTAATTTATATATAATACTAAACAGACGATACTAACTCAATTTAGCCACTCCGTAGTGTGGCGCAGGGTCGGAGGAAAGTAGTTCGGCTGCTCATCCACTATTGGTCCAGACTCTATCAATCTTGTCGCGAAACGACGTTATAGGAGGTACTTTATACGAAAGTTGCTACAATTTTTTCGCTACGTTATAGGAATTGTCGTTATAGGAACATATGTTATAGGGGGGTCGACTGTATAGTAATCATATTATAAACAGTATTGTCAATATATAGAATAATCTTTGATTAGTACACTGATGCAGCAGCTGTCTCTCACCCAAACTGGCTCAAATCTTGAGGTCAAAACCATCGTAGCTAGCTCAGTATTGTGCTTACTTGGCATTACATCTCTATTATGTTCCTTAAGATAAAAAGCCAATGTTCTGAGTCTGGACCCAATGTAGTGTGTAGCAACATTGGCAACAATATCTCTACATGGTATCATATAGAAAAAAATATTTTTTTGCTATTTTATTCTTATATTTTATTTGAATCTGGGAATTCTATTAGTATCTTATCTNAATTAATATCACATAATAAATTTTTGCGTTAATCTTCTGTTATATATAACAAGTGATATGTTAACGTGTTGTGTGAAACACTACACGTTTGTTTTACGTAACATGTTAACACTACGTTTAATATGTTATACGTACTCTCATGCAGAAAGTTAATTTAGATTTGTTATAGATACTATTAATTCTTTATCATTTATAAATAAAATTATGAACAATGAATTTGAAAATAAGCCAGTAGGAAATTTGGGAAGAACACTTAACATTTATGGCAAATTTCACTTAATTGAGATATAATATAGGACCCACTTTAACAGGTACAATTACACCTCTGAATGAGATGGTGGGACTTTATCAGAGACTAGCTGTTACCTGCAACTTCGCCTGCGCGGATTTTGCAAGCAAATCCTATTTATATTCAGTATTTCAACAACTATAGTAATTGTTATATAACACCTACCAATGAGAATTGCTGAGAATCAAACAAACTATTTTCAATTTGATCAATTTTCTGGAACGTTTACAATTGTTCTATAATCAAACCAATACGCAATAACAAATTCAAATTTAAAACGGTTTGAACATTTGGTTAAAAAATCGAAATATATAAAAATATGTATAACAATGCCTGAAATGTTATCATTTAATACATCTAAGTACTCGATGAAGACTAAACGTAGTTGAAAACAAAAAATCGCATCTAAAATGATACAATAGAAGCCGTTCTTCGGGTTAAGCCTTAATCTGCTCCCTCTCCCCCATGGGGGGATTTCCAAAACTCCCTTCTTAGTGTGCGTTTTCATGACATACATTAACTGTGTACAAAATTTCACCTCTAGGTTCAGCAGTTTGCTCTGGGCTATGATGAATCACTCAGTCAATCACTCAGTTAGTCAGTCCGTCAGGACAAGTAATTTTATATACTTAGATGTAGACTATACATGTAGGAGCAAAAAATGCAAAAAAAAATCATACCTCCCGAAATCGGCCTATTTCCAGGTTGCACGCAATCACGAGTCACATTGCTCCACTAAGACTATCGTGTTTAACTATTTAGCCAGTGTGACACTGCTTGGCTTTGAGTAGTCCACTTGACTGTTTATGGAGTATTTAATGCTATATAGTTTTGGGGGAGTGTGGAGACATGCCCCCGTGTGGATGCTGAGGCATTAAAGTGCATGACTATGTGCCAAGCATGGAGAATAGGCAGTATACTGGTATACAGTAAAAGCTGACCTATGAAGGCAAATATCTCGAGTTACATGCACAGGTATGGTTCCTTTGACTTCTTTCTTGTACAGGGAGTCTATAGTTCTGGGGGTGGGAAACCCTCATTCATAGTTCATATCTTACCCTTTAACATGACTTTTAAAGATGCATTTATGTATTGTTTTTATGTACTACATTTATTTCAAAGGAATTGAGAATTATATCAGCTTTAGCTAGGGATAGGTTATTTTATCATCTCATTTAAAAAATTTATAGTCATTAAGATATTTATTTTATATGATTATTTACTAATACAACAGTCAAGGAGTTAGGCAATTATGTAATTCTTACAGTAGTAATAAATTTTAGAATTGAATGTCTCATTATCTTTAATCTGTGAATAAACTTGTACTTTCTGAAGATGGATGTCCATTGGGAAGTAATGAATCTTTATCTCATAGCTAAACATTTGCTTTTATATGAGAAAATATATTTATTTTAATATTTCAGACACTTTATTTCCACTTTCAATTTAATTTACTATGTCCAAAACTGTGGGGTAGAAAATAATTAGATAAAGTAAAGTACAGAGGGTGATTGGTTAACAAACACACAAAGATGTGCTACCCATGAAAAAATGGAGATATTACTTTTATTGATAGTTTGGATAAAAGAAAGGGAAATGAAAAGAGATGCAACTTGTATGACTATCATTCAAGAGAATGCTAGAGAAATTTTTGAAGAACTGAAGAAACAGACACCATATTTATCACTTGAGGAAATAGAATTCAAGGCTACCATGGATGGTTTGCAAAGTTTAGAAGATGATTTGGTATTAAACATGTAATAATGTTGGTGAGTCTGCTAGTGCAGATAAAGAAGCTGAGAAGTTGTGTCTCAAATTTCAAGAATTCATTAAAAAAAGAAGAATATTGTCTACAACAAATTTTCAATTGTGTTGAATTTGGTTTATTTGGGAAGTGCTTGCCAAACTGTACCTACATCACGAAAGATGTGAAAAATATTCCTGAGCATAAACCCATGAAAGATCGATTGACGTTACTTTTGCAAGCTAATGCTAGTGATGATATGAAGCTTAATCTGCTTCCTGTCTATCACTTCAAGAACCCTAGAGCATTAAAAAAAGATTCCATAATTAAAGAAAGACTATCAGTGATATGGAGATTGAATGAAAGGGCATGTGTCATGCAAGTTCTTTTTAAAGAATGGCTGTTTACAGTTTGTGGCTCAAGCATCAAGGTTTACCTTCAGACCAATGAATTGTTATTGAAAGCATTGTTGCCATTGGACAATGTACCGGGACACCCAAAAGACCTTGAAGATAATTTGCTGAAGACTTTCCCTGGCTGACTGTTCAGTTTTTGCCTTTAAATATCACTTTGTCAATTCAGCCAATAATCAGGTTATTGCGGGTTTCAAAAAATGGTACTGCACTGTTTCATCAATGTTTTGAAGCATGCCAGTTTTCCTCAATAATGACATTAAAAACATTTTGGAAAGAAAAATTTGATATTCATGAAGCTATAGGATCATTTAAAAGGTGTAGTCAGAAGTCACTCAATGACAGATGAATTCAGCTTGGCAAAAGCTGTATCCATCCTGCATTCAAAGAGACAGAAATGATGACTGAAATTATGAATGAAATTGTGACAACTGCTAGAGATCTTGGATTGGAGGTGAATGAAGATGACATTTAAGAGCTCACAATAGGACATGAAAATGATCTGACAGCAGAACTCCAAGAACTCTTGAATGAAGAATGCCAAGAAACTCAGAAAGATATGTTTTATTCTGAAAAATAGGAAGATGAAAGAGGACCAGTGTGCTGACATCTGCTATTAAAGATCTTTGGAATAAGTGGGAGTATGTCAGAACAATGGTCTTAGAATGACACCCAAACCAGGTTAAGGTGAGTACGCTTGGGGATCTATACGACAATGCTATTAATCACTTTCAAAAAATCCTGAAGAAGAGAGAAAAGCATTCAACATTGAACAGATTCTTTAATGCCCCACAAATGGAAAAAAAACATGGCTGATGATAATGAAAGACTGTGTATGTATATATGTATTATTGTTATTACATATAAACAAACATAGTAAGAAATTATATAATGTTTTATTTATTTATTTTTTGGTCTCAAGAATGAATTAATCAACTTTCTATAAAAATCTATGGTAAATTAATAAACAGTAAATGAACAATTCAGGTAGTGAACATAGTCTTTGAATGAATTATGTTCATTAACCAATCATCCACTGTACAGGAGGACAGAGAGATTACTGAGTTCGGTGTTATGTGTGTGTTTTATCGCAAGTATGTTTGACGAACCTATAGTCGTCATCGTAGTCGTCAGGTTTTTATATGAGAGACAAACCTCGTTTTTATATGGGAGTCAAAAGTAAGAATACACACAAATGTATGCACAGACAAACACACAAAATTAAAATAGGCACACTAAAAATATTTTTTTTTTTTTTTTTGTTTGTTGAATTTTCTAATGGCAGTTGTATTAGTTGTTAAATAGGTAAATGTCTCTTCAATCCAAAAAAAGAAATCCTTTGGTAGAATTATATTGTCTGTTGAACCTTTTAAAGATTATACAACATATACTGCTATGTTCTTTTAAAGATGAAACACTTTTAAAGAAAACCTCATAATGAAAATTATTTCGATGTAAAACACCCTTAAAAGAGAAAATGGAAATTTTTGAAAACATTGTAAATTGAAACTACAAGTACTGTATAAGTGTGAAGAAACATGTGGAGTTCCTTAGGCACTGAAGAGGGGCTAGAAAATTAAACTTGCCTGAAATGCATCTGTAGAAAAACAATAAAGGAGTTTTATAACCTGTAGAGCTGTGAGACAGTCTATCGAAGGATTTCTTTTTTTGGATTGAAGAGACATTTACCTATTTAAAAATATTTTGTTTACTTTTATATTTATTATTATTATAAAGATATAATTTTTATGTTTTTATTATTTAAANAATATGCTTCAGTTTTCTCAAGAAATTGAAAAAGCTTTGCCAATAATTTGCCAACTCCTTCATTCTACATATACTTCCAGTGATATATTGGAATCTATTAGATTTTTTGTAACTGCTTATCAGTTTGGCGTTAAAGATGCTGTTTTTGGAATTAAAAGTATGCTATCTCATATATGGTCAAAGGAAGATGTAATAAAAGATGCTGTAGTATCAGCATATAAAGAATTGTATTTGGCTAACACAAGTTCTAACAGAAAGTAATTATTATTTTTCTGAATTATGTTTCAGAATATAAATTTTTATAATTTTAATTCATTTAGTTTCTTAATAATTTTCTTCTATTATTAATTACTGCAAATTTTTTGCAGAGAGTGTGTCTTGAGCATTGTGAAGAATATTATATTGCTCGTACAAGGATCAACATTTGCAGAAGAAATATGTCTTGAAAAATTGGTATACATTTTTTATAATATAAAATATATGAAATTCAAGGAATTAAAGATGTTTTACTCAATACAACTGTACTTAAATAATAATATTTACATTAAGCTATTGGTTGTTGTAGATTTAAATTGTTTTGATTAAAGGTGAACATTATATAATTTTCTCAGTTCTATGCATCATCATCAGTTTTGTTTTTTACTTCTAAAATTTAATGTAATTAATATAATATTTTTTAGATAGGAGAATTTATGAAATCTGAAGATTTTAATAATAATATAATTGAAATGTTATGGGATATTTATTCAATGAAAATACCAAATTCCACATTAGAAGAAAGTCATTCTGCATTAAAGTTATTAAGAATGGCAGCAACGTAAGTAAACAAATTTAAAACAATTTAAATACACAATTAAAAATATAATTTAATTTATTTAATTTTTTATTTTAGATTTCAAACTGATATCATTGAGAAAAATATTGAACTTCTGTTGTCAATAGCATTTAATGCAGAAAATATGCCAGATTTTGTTTTTATTTGTGATGTTTGCAAAATGTTGTTGCAGTTAGCTAATTCAAACAAGGTTAATATTTATTATTTATATATTAAAATTTATCATAATCAGTAGAATATTGTTTTTATTCTAAAATTTATGATGATAGGATAATTCAAATAAGAGTTACCATTTTCCAAATGATGATGTTATGTTCAAAAAACTAACTGATGTTCTTGTTAAAGGTAAGAAAATATTAAAAAGTGATGAATTATGGATAATTCTTTTACACATTTACAAATAAAATTCATCTAGAATCTAATAAAAGTTTTAACATTTTAGGTGTAATTAAATTAAACGATCACTTTTGGATTCCTATGGCTGAACAAGCAATAAATGTAATTTATAAATTAGCACATAGGCCAGATAAATTATGTGCAAAAATTATGGAAGAATTTTCTTATCTTATTAGTGATTCTCAATCACCTTTTTCAGGTAATTTTAAAATTTTTAAAGTATACAAATTCTTATTTATTTCAGTTTTTAATTTTTATTTTATCTTAGAAGATACTTCAAGATTTCCACTTAGAATTTTGCAACGAATTGTCAGCTTTTCTGGTCANAGTGTATTATCTAAAATTGCAATGACACATCTTGAATTTGTTATTCCTTTAAGTAAAGATGATTTGAGAAAAGTGAATAAATCTTATCAGTATGTAGTGAAAGAAACATTTTCTACATCCGAAATTGTACAAAAACTTAAAGGTAATAAATTAACTTAATGCATTTATTTTTAAAACTATAAATGAAATCCAAGAAATAAATAAATTATTTTTTATACAGATTGCCATCATCAAATAAGATGTAATAATGCAGAATTTATCATCAATTATTTTGATGTTTTTTTCTGTGTTTTATAGTAAGTATTTTGCTTTTATTACTTGTTTATTAAGTCACTTATATTAAAATAACCATACATCTTCAAAACCAGCAAATACATTTAATTAACTAAATAAGTAAACATTTTCAATTTTTAAAAGCCTCCTTCAGATTATTTGGCCTCTTGGACTGTTTAATTTTGATGTAAATTAATAATCTGAAAACCTTGAAAAAGTTGAAAGCATTCAATTGAAAGTGTATGGTTGTTGGGCTGCAATTTGAAATTGCAGCCCTACAACTATACAAAATTGTAGATCTATAAATTCCCACTATCTGTCTGTTTTTAATCTCGAGAACTGAGTTAGCTAGATGAAAGTCAAGACCGGATATGGAAAGCTTAGGGGTAGGAGGCCTCAATTAACTATATACAAACTTCTGATGCAAATCAGAAGTCATGTTATTTGAATTCAAAAATTTCCTCTGAGAGGTGTTAGATAGATGACCAGCACAACTCTATTGTTAAAAGAAAAGTATGATGTACAGGGTTAAGCCACTTCTAATTTGAGATGAGAGCATATATTTTAAATTAAGTAAATTAAAAATATGATTAAAAATTGCAGCCTGGCATTGTGATGATGTCACAATAAATAATTTAATTGCTTGTTTTTGATGTGATTTCGTTACTGGTTTATGGAGTTGAAAAATCATATAAATAATAAAAAATTCTTCAATAATTGATTAGATCTTTAAATGCACATTGATCTCATAAATTTGTATCATATATTTTTTATTACATTAACATATTATATATAATAAAAGTGAGTTTATAAGATCATAATAATATATGAAATTTTATAATTTTATATTTAGTAAATATTTTATTGATAATTTAGTAGTAATATTAATATTACTACTAAATCATAATTGCTATATTTCCTCAATTTTTTAAAAATATTTCAATAAAATTTCACTTTTTTAAAGACATTTTTTACCCATTTTGAATGGATTATCAAATTAGAGATGCGTATTAGGGTGTATTTAGACTAGTGAGAAAACTTATGCTATTTATTCTGACATTACTGTCAGAATAAATAGCATAAGTTTTACTGACATTACAAAATGACTTATAAAGTTGTTTACACTAATGATAGTGTAAACAACTTGATAGTTTACACTTTATAAGTCATTTTGCTGGAACTTGCAGAAGTCCTTACATGACATCCATGCTTGCTTGTCTAAACTGATATAACTATAGTCACATGATTTCTGGAAATACTTTCAGTTTGTTTTGATATTTGGCAAGTTAAACAGTCAAAGGCAAGAAGAAATAGAGAGATGCAAAAATAAAAATTTTAATATCTTTATATGAAGAAAACCCATTTTTGTACAATGTGCATTTTTACAAGTTATGCAAATCAAAATAAAAAACAAGAAATATTAAAATTAAATGCAACAAAATTTAATCCAAATAACAATAGCAGAGAAATTTTACAAAAATTACACAACTTAATGGGCCAATTTATGCAGGAAGTGAAGAAAATGAAAATAAAAAAAAATGATTCTGGAGCAGTGTTATACTGCAAACATCCAAATAATTGTTTGTTTGTTTAGTTAAGTTATGGTAACATTACACTTGGGCAATCTGCATAGGGGGATGTGTTCCGGGAGGTCTTTTTAAGGGAAAGTGGCCCCTATTTAGGCGTTAAAGACATGGAGAAAATCCAGAAAACTCCATGTGGCCAGCCTGTCCGAGCAAGGCATGAACCCACAACTGAACTCCCAGTGTTCACGGAATGAAGACCACTTGGCCACTGGTGGGCCAACATCCAAATAAAGTTTTTAAATTGTTGTTCATCTTTAATTTTTGGCTCATTGAACAAATTATTATATGCCCAATAATCTTCCCTTCTTAATATTCATTCCTTACCAACTTGCTCACTTTCAATGTTATTTTTTAATTGTAATTGTCATTTAGAAGTAACAATGCCACTACACAATGTTTATGTTTTGTGGCATTATTAGTTCTAAATGACAGTTTACGAGATAATATAGTGAAAAAAGGACCCAACACTTGACAAATGACACTGCCACAAATCTAAGTTGCTGAGAGTATAAGCAGTTTTGTGAGAACTCAGGTGATGTTTCTGATAGATAATCACAACAATTATTACTAGTAATGTAAATCCATATGAAATACACTTATATGAGATTTATTGCAAGTAACTTACCCTTAAGGCTGCCGCAAACTAGGCAATATCAAAGCAAACTGGTCGAAGGAAACATGAAACGAAATTTGTTCACTCATCACTCAGTCAACCATTGATTGCCCAGTTATCAACTTAATGTCACTCTGTGTCATATCTATAAATATAAATGAAAATATAAAAACTGTCTATTGGTGTTACTGGTAAATATGTTTAATTAACAAGTATGAGCACTTTCAGCAGCATCTAACTGTCTTCTTCAGGTAATATGGGGGATGAAACATTATGAATCTAGAGATAGAACACATTTTCAAATTGCTCTTTGTGCACAAGCATGGAACATAAAAATTTAAAAATACAAAATTATATGCCATTACAAAATAAATATAATATGCTATGACAACAGTTAACAAAAGAAAAACAAAATTAATTGATAAAAATATAAAGAAAATTTAAACAAAATGTAAACATTGGAGCCCCTTGTCACCAGTATGCTCATGCCATATAATTGCATGACCTACAGTTTTAGCAAGTTGAACAGTGCAACCCATTGCTGTGGAATATCAAATGTGGGAGAGTTGTATGGGAACATTGATGTGATAAACAGACTCAAATGAACAAAATTCTCCTATCCCCACAGTGACCAAATAGGATCAAAGTTGTATTCCATCACTGTTTTAGCTAGCTCTGTTGAACATCTCCCATGTGTAACATCTTCATAATGCTCTGCTTGACAGACACGGAACATTCTGTTAGTGGCACCTATATATAATAATATAAAGATAATAAATTTGATCCAGTTAGTGGATTTTGTAAACTCCAAACTTTTCAAGAGTGTAATCCCATTTCTATCATTGCAAGGTATTCTATGCAATGTGGGCTTGGAAGCAAGTGGTAATGGTAGTATATGCTCGAGTTTTCTAAAGGCTCAGCACAAACCTTTAGAAAATTCGGGTATATACATAAAGAAATAGAGCCTAGGTACAGGATGGCTAGCAACACAAAGACCAGTTTCTTATGAAATAAAGTGGAATTGTGGAAATAATGCATTTTTTACATGATTGACTAAATAATTAAACTTGGCAGAGTATATTCAGCCCTGCACACTGCTAATTTTATGCAAGCAAGCTCTTCATCCACAAGCAACTGGGAGGATGGTACAAAATATGAATTATTTCTGTGGTGTGTTCGTCCTTTGTGTAGAAAGAAAGCTCCTGGCAAGGCTTATCAAAGATAAACAGAAAAATCACTGGTTTTGAACAAAATGTATATCTTGCACACCTAGCCTTTGTTAAAATTTGTGAAACAAGTACCATCTATGAACAGCTCAATAAAATTCATTTTATCTCTGACAAAGTTATCTTACAAACAAAAATGAAGTTTGATAAAAAGTTGTTTGTGGATGAAGAGCTTGCCCACATAAAATTAGCAGTGTCTAGGGCTGAATATTCTCTCACCAATTACATTCCAAAAAGGAATTTTTGAGATAATACAATGTTTGAGTCCTTTTTCTATTTATATCCTTTTATTCCAATCCAGGAACCACAAACAGCAGGTAATTTGAAGTAAAACTTCTAAAAATAACAGACAAAATACTATCAAATGATTTACACACAATTAAAAATGATCTTGTACAGTTATGTAAATAATTTATCGGCTGCCCGAAAATTCTCCAGAGAACTCTCAACTTAAATGCGATTATATAACATCAATGCTGATGTGAAGGATTTTTAATGCTTGTAAACATTATAGCCTACAAAAACAGGTTGATGTTGAGATCATTTTTAATTGTGTGTAAATCATTTGATAATATTTCGTCTGTTATTTTTAGAAGTTTTACTTCAAGTCGTCTGCTGTTTGGAATAAAAGGATATAAATAGGAAAAAGGACTCAAAGATTGTTTGTATTGTCTCAAAAATTCCTTTTTGGAATGTAACTAAAATAATCCTGGGCTAAAATTATCTTAAATTATTATTATTATTATTATTATTATTATTATTATAGTCTCTTCTAGTCCGTTAATTCGGCTTTGGTTGCTTTAATGTTTATCGGGTTAGCTGATGTTTGTTTATATATATAATCCTGGGCTAATATTTACAATTCTCTCACCAAGTTTATGTTTATTTATTAAATTTCTGTCAAATAGACAATGAATGGAATGCAGCCAAAGCTAACATCAGTTAGCTTTAGCTACTTCCATTTGCTGATACAAATTGTCATCATACATCATTTTCATTTTACAAAATAAATACAGAGCAATAGTTCTTAGAGAGGTCAAAATGTTCATTGGTTCTGTAGAACTACATTTGTGATATCACAAATGGCGACATTGATCAATCTTTGAAGGAAAGCATTCATGTAACCATAAAAATTTCCTCTGATGTCATGTTGAAAGTGATGGCATTGCCTAGTTTGCAGTGGGCTTTAGAGTTGATAGCCTTTTGGAATTGAGGAAATACAGTATATATAAAAATTGCTGACCTACTTTTGCATAAATTGCATTATGTTGTTGAAAATTACTACTAATTTTTAACGACTGATGATAAATTTAATTGTTAAAATTTTAAATAACTAAAATGTATTTTTTTAAAATCTGATTAATCCACTTTAAATTTTTTATTATAGTGATTTTGCTAAAATTGAAGCTGATGTAAAAGAAAATGCTTGGAAGATCATTTTGAAAGGTTTCTTTTTTTTTATATAGTAATTTATTTTATTTATTGCATTGTTTTATTAAAATTTTAATTTTGATTTTGAACACAAAACTCATTTTTTATATGACTATTTTGAATTTTAAACATTTTCAGTTTGTAAATGTAGAAATTTCAACATTTATGTTTACTTCATTATATTTAAACTTAGTCTGAAGCTATGCAAACAAAATTAAAAGCAAAATTAATGCTTTCTTATATCATTGTAGCATTAATGATTGCTTAATACTGATGACTAAACTGAATAATTGATATCATGTTATATTTTATCACAAAACTGTTTACTTGTACAAGATTTTATGTTTCAGTAATATTCTATGCCAAATGAACTACCCAAGGCCCCTATGGCTGTCAGGCAACTTACACTTTTACACCACTATGATACAGGGAAGTCCATTTTAATTAATCCACTGGAATACGAAAATGTGCATCCTGCAAAATATCATTAAACCAAAGATGTTAGACTTCAAGAGAAGTACAAGATGGAGCTATCAGTTTCATCATAGAAGGCACTACAATTGGTAAAAAAAAGGTCAATTTCATTTATTAATACATTAACTGTTATCTACAAGATAACTCATATAATGTTGTCTGTCGTGTTTTGCCAGATATGATTATTCCTATAGTAAGTAGTTATTATAACTGATTAGTGGGTGCCTGGAATGAGAATGACACATTGATTGGGCATTATAGAACAAATTATAAAGAAGTTTAAAATGTGATATGAGTTTTCTGTTTAGATTGCAAGATACAAGCATTTTTGTAGTAAATATATTATCAAAGTGACTAATTTGTGCCTGGAATATGAAAGACAAATCAACCTGGTGTCATAAAAGGAAAAAAAGTTTATTGAAAAAATATTGGAAAAAATATATATTTATTTATTTATATTTCTTAAATTATCTCATTGTTGGTGTCCGAGAAAGAAAAGTTACTTCACAAGATAACTCACATTGATATTTTTTTGCTAAATATTAATTATTACTACCAATTATACTTAAAAAATAAACATAAAACTTTAAAACAACAAATAAACATTAAATAATCCAAATGGCATCCAGGACATGTTTGTGCAAACTGCTCATGGAAGTCAATATGTTAAATGGAAACAGCCATTTTTTATTGCATATTCTGATTCTACATCAAAAATAAACAAACTTTTATTTAAAACATTTTTTGAAAAGATGCATTTATCAGAAGTTATGAGTGTTTGAAGTTTTATGCAGCCACCACACCATGCACATGTGAATCTAAGGATATCTGTGAACTTCATTGAAAAATGGAAGAAAAATGTTAAAAAATATCATTAGGAAACTATTGTTGTTTGGTGGAATCAAGATAAGTGTCTTCTCTTTATCACAAGCTTGATGGCTTTAACTAACATGCTGTCACATTAGCTTTTAATCAGTTTATTATTTGAGAAAAAGAATGATTTTCTATCCAACCTGTTTTTATTTCATAATTGTTTTTAAGAATATTTAATTTTTGTGATTTCTTGTCAGGTTGAAATAAAACAAAATTTTCACTTGTTCCTCTCTCACAAAATTTGCATGTTATTGAATTGCATTTAAAAAATTTTCTGAATTGTCTTCATAAAGTAGCTTAAATAGAAGTTTTATTATGGTTTATAAACATGTTTTTTTCATAGATATGTTTCAATTTATCAATATTTGTTACTTTTTAATAGATTTTAAAAAATCAAATATGGTTACGTTTTCAAAAATATATTGAAAAATAGAACTAAAAACTTTGTAAAAATTGCTACTTTTTAAAAATTTGGATTCCTTGTTTTACTAAAAAAATATTTCTGAATATTTTAAATAATTTTTCAGTAAAAAAAAAATACAGTGGACCCTGGCTTAACAAGCATAATTCATTCCAGAACCTTAATCATAATGAGAAACACTTATTAAGCAAAACAATTTTTCCCATATAAATGAATGTAAAATGTGATAATGCATACCATACTCAAATATTTTATGTATAACATTTATTCAAAGAAAATTATACAATATACATTGTTAATGAGTGTGAATTATCATCATCTTTTCTTCTAGTGCAGAATGAACCAACCTGGAATGCGAATTCGATTTGCAGAAAACAAAAAAAAATTGAAATTTAATTTGGAATTGGTCATTAAATTTAATACGAGAGGCAGTACAACTGTCTACCTCTAGTCAAATTATTTAATTTCTAATATTTAATTATAGCCTTTACATAGCCCAAGAATTTGGCATATCATTTGGCATGTTTATTATATAATGGGCTAAGTTTGTTGATGTTTATATGTAATATGTCTGAACACAAGTTTGGAAAAATCTGTGATCACAAGCAATACTAAGATGCTAGCAGAACCAGGGCTAAATACAGACTGATATAACATGCGCACAATCTGGAACTTCCTCTCTTCTTGTCACTTGTTAAGCAAGTCACTTTTTACAATTTGATTTGCTCATTATGAGAGGTGCTCGTTAAGCGAGGTTCCACTGTGTGTACAATCATTACTTGTAAAGAAGTGCACCACACTAAAAATATCTCATCCCATTGCATTGATGAGGACTGATGCCTGTCACATTTTACTTCAATTAGTTTCTGTTTTATTTTTATTAATTAATTATAGTATTACATCAGGATTAAGAAAATTCTGATTTCTGAGATTTTAAGCAAATGTAAATTTTAATATCTTTATTTTTACATTTTGTTAGTTATGTATTAAAAACCTAAGAATTTTTTAAAATATGGATCTTTATAGATAATTTTCAGTCAGTCTTGGTTAATTGGATTCTACCATACTATCATCTAATCTTGATATTATTTTGAAGATGTAGAAATTTGGTTAACTTAAATTTAAAAGTTTAATCTTTTTGTTCACAAATACATTATAAATATAATTGCTAATTTTGTATAAAAATGCATTTTGTTTTTTACTAGTCTTTATGTTATTTATAGGTATGAATCTGTTAGAAAAATCTCTATGTGAGTATCTAGATTCAGAAGAGTCAATGGATCAACAAGATTGCGCTAAATTTCGTAATATGTTAAAAATGTTCTGTTATTTATTATGTCAATTTCTTGAAGCAGTTGAATCTAAATTATATCAAAATTCAAATAAACATATAATAGGAAAAGTAAATGTTTATAAATTAAATATCTTTTAAATATTTGTTGTTTGGTTTGTTATTTAATTTTATTTTGAAATTATTACAGGGGAAGAAGTTAGTGCAGAATGAATCATCTGTTTGGGATGAAGAACGTATTCAAGGCATTACAGCACTTAATACAATCTGCCAGTTAAAATTACACAAGTTATGGGATCCACCGATAATAGAGGAGGATTTTGTCAAGTAATATAAATCTCAAATTCATTATTGATTAACTATAAAGTGTTTGTCCAAGCTAATTTTAGGTAGTTACTTAATTAGCTAAATGTTTCCTCTGGTCAGTTTAAAATATTTTAATCTTAATTATTATTATTATCTTTTAAAGATAATCTTACTGGTATGCAGTAAGATTTGTTTGTACATATTCAATTAATATTCTTTACTAAACTATTTTAGAAAACATTAACAGTGATTTGTATAATATATAATTGACTTCTGAAGTTTATTTATAATAGATTTATTTTTATTAAGCTATTGGAATTTAGATATTTTTCATTATAAAATTATTTTATATCATTTTTAAAAAGTATTTATTTAACTCTGTTTATTACTGAATTATTATTAATTAGCAGATGGGCCTGGTATTGCTTGGGCAAAAATTAACGATAGTGAAGATTATTAGATTATAGCTGATCTTATCCATTTTCACCAGGTGCAAGAATTAGGTCCCCCTCTTCTGAGACTAATTAGAGAATTTTTAGATGGATCTAAAAATATGTCTGACTTCCCACAAAAACACAAAAAACTGCATCTAAAATAGTATAGTAGAAGCCGAGTTCTTCAGGGTAATCCTTAACCCTCTCTCTCTCTCTTTTCCCTGCAGGGGGGAATTTCTTAAAATCCCTTTTTAGTGTACATTCTCATGATGTACCTTAGCTGTGTACCAAATTTCAACTTTCAACTCCTAACCATTTGGGCTCTACACTTATTATTATTATCAACCCATCTAAATTATATTATAAGATTTATTTGTAGTTTCTGATGTACTGTATATTATTAATTGATATAATTTTTTATTTGTCTCTTTTAGCTTGATTATGAATTGTTGCTTCAAGTTATTGGAAAATCAGAATACAGTTCGATGCAAATCTACAAAGAATGCCATTTTTAATCTTCTTGGTATTTTATTAAAAAAATATAAAAACAGCTTAAGTAAGACTTCATTTTAGTAATTTTACAATTAATATCAATAAAATAAAATCATAATAATGTACAGTATTGCTATTTTAAAGGTTGCAGTTTAAAAATTATACAATTTGTGCAGCATTTTGATTATTTAGTTTCTCCTCTGGCTCAAGCAGTTGAATTATTTGTAAATGAATATGGTATTAATAATATTGTGAATGAAATAATAAGGTATGTATGGAATTATAAATAAAAAATTTCAAGACATTTTTTAATATTAAATTGTCATTTTATAAAATTATACTTTGTATTTTCATTATTTTTTAGGGAAATAAGTCAAATGGACATTCAAGATTTAATTAGAGATAACACAGGTACCAAATCAGTCTCCCTGTTCCTGGTTGAAATTACAGAAAAAATTCCTTCTGTAGTTTTACATTCTTCAAGTCTCTTGCTTCATTTTCTTGATGAAGAAGTAAGTAGTGAATTATAAATAAATTTATCTAGTTTTCTAAAACAAATATTATTCTTATTTATCTGTTAAAAAAATATAATACACAAATTTTTATTTAAAAATATTGTTGTTTCTTATAATAATTCTTATAATTCCTCTATATAAGCAAATTCTTATAATAAATTTATTATGCCTTTAATTATTCATGTCCAAAAAAAAAGCATAATAATCAAATTTGTCGATAGAGCAAAAAATAAACAAATAAATAGCAAAAAACTTACATGAATGTTTCCAGACAATAAAAATGTAAGGAACCAAGTCCAAGCATTATTTTTATTTACTTTTATTTTTGCTTTTTATTTATCTTTATTTTTACATTTTGTTAGTTATGTATTAAAAACCTAAGAATTTTTTAAAATATGGATCTTTATAGATAATTTTCAGTCAGTCTTGGTTAATTGGATTCTACCATACTATCATCTAATCTTGATATTATTTTGAAGATGTAGAAATTTGGTTAACTTAAATTTAAAAGTTTAATCTTTTTGTTCACAAATACATTATAAATATAATTGCTAATTTTGTATAAAAATGCATTTTGTTTTTTACTAGTCTTTATGTTATTTATAGGTATGAATCTGTTAGAAAAATCTCTATGTGAGTATCTAGATTCAGAAGAGTCAATGGATCAACAAGATTGCGCTAAATTTCGTAATATGTTAAAAATGTTCTGTTATTTATTATGTCAATTTCTTGAAGCAGTTGAATCTAAATTATATCAAAATTCAAATAAACATATAATAGGAAAAGTAAATGTTTATAAATTAAATATCTTTTAAATATTTGTTGTTTGGTTTGTTATTTAATTTTATTTTGAAATTATTACAGGGGAAGAAGTTAGTGCAGAATGAATCATCTGTTTGGGATGAAGAACGTATTCAAGGCATTACAGCACTTAATACAATCTGCCAGTTAAAATTACACAAGTTATGGGATCCACCGATAATAGAGGAGGATTTTGTCAAGTAATATAAATCTCAAATTCATTATTGATTAACTATAAAGTGTTTGTCCAAGCTAATTTTAGGTAGTTACTTAATTAGCTAAATGTTTCCTCTGGTCAGTTTAAAATATTTTAATCTTAATTATTATTATTATCTTTTAAAGATAATCTTACTGGTATGCAGTAAGATTTGTTTGTACATATTCAATTAATATTCTTTACTAAACTATTTTAGAAAACATTAACAGTGATTTGTATAATATATAATTGACTTCTGAAGTTTATTTATAATAGATTTATTTTTATTAAGCTATTGGAATTTAGATATTTTTCATTATAAAATTATTTTATATCATTTTTAAAAAGTATTTATTTAACTCTGTTTATTACTGAATTATTATTAATTAGCAGATGGGCCTGGTATTGCTTGGGCAAAAATTAACGATAGTGAAGATTATTAGATTATAGCTGATCTTATCCATTTTCACCAGGTGCAAGAATTAGGTCCCCCTCTTCTGAGACTAATTAGAGAATTTTTAGATGGATCTAAAAATATGTCTGACTTCCCACAAAAACACAAAAAACTGCATCTAAAATAGTATAGTAGAAGCCGAGTTCTTCAGGGTAATCCTTAACCCTCTCTCTCTCTCTTTTCCCTGCAGGGGGGAATTTCTTAAAATCCCTTTTTAGTGTACATTCTCATGATGTACCTTAGCTGTGTACCAAATTTCAACTTTCAACTCCTAACCATTTGGGCTCTACACTTATTATTATTATCAACCCATCTAAATTATATTATAAGATTTATTTGTAGTTTCTGATGTACTGTATATTATTAATTGATATAATTTTTTATTTGTCTCTTTTAGCTTGATTATGAATTGTTGCTTCAAGTTATTGGAAAATCAGAATACAGTTCGATGCAAATCTACAAAGAATGCCATTTTTAATCTTCTTGGTATTTTATTAAAAAAATATAAAAACAGCTTAAGTAAGACTTCATTTTAGTAATTTTACAATTAATATCAATAAAATAAAATCATAATAATGTACAGTATTGCTATTTTAAAGGTTGCAGTTTAAAAATTATACAATTTGTGCAGCATTTTGATTATTTAGTTTCTCCTCTGGCTCAAGCAGTTGAATTATTTGTAAATGAATATGGTATTAATAATATTGTGAATGAAATAATAAGGTATGTATGGAATTATAAATAAAAAATTTCAAGACATTTTTTAATATTAAATTGTCATTTTATAAAATTATACTTTGTATTTTCATTATTTTTTAGGGAAATAAGTCAAATGGACATTCAAGATTTAATTAGAGATAACACAGGTACCAAATCAGTCTCCCTGTTCCTGGTTGAAATTACAGAAAAAATTCCTTCTGTAGTTTTACATTCTTCAAGTCTCTTGCTTCATTTTCTTGATGAAGAAGTAAGTAGTGAATTATAAATAAATTTATCTAGTTTTCTAAAACAAATATTATTCTTATTTATCTGTTAAAAAAATATAATACACAAATTTTTATTTAAAAATATTGTTGTTTCTTATAATAATTCTTATAATTCCTCTATATAAGCAAATTCTTATAATAAATTTATTATGCCTTTAATTATTCATGTCCAAAAAAAAAGCATAATAATCAAATTTGTCGATAGAGCAAAAAATAAACAAATAAATAGCAAAAAACTTACATGAATGTTTCCAGACAATAAAAATGTAAGGAACCAAGTCCAAGCATTATTTTTATTTACTTTTATTTTTGCTTTTTATTATATTTTTGTTTGGGGCTTATGTTTTGTTAGGACAAAGGTTTCCTCACCATTCACCTTAGAAACTTAAAAATAGAAGAGAAACCAACTCACCAACGAGAGAAAAGTGCCGTAGTAAAAAACTTGCGCACACTTGTGCTCCCGAGCGGGAAAAAAATAAGTCCGCACTGAGAAAAGGGGGGGAGACCCCACAAGCACAACTTAGGGACTCGCTAAACGTTAAAGAATAAAAACATCCTGAAAATTGTCAAAAAGAATAATGTAAAAGGTTAGCGAGTATTGTCGGAAAATAGGCTGCCAGACAAATAGAAAAAGTTTATTGTTAGCAAATAAGTATGTAAATGAGGGGAGTGATCGCATTCAGAATTGTGACGTCACCTCACAGTATAAAGACTGAACGTCAAGTGAAGACGGACTTCGATTTAAGTAGGGGAACCGGAGAGTTGGTGACTCGGAGAAAGAGTCTATAAAGAGCTAAAATCTCCATATAAACACTGAAGAAGAAGACAGACTTTAACACCAATATATTGGGCCCTCTCTTCAAGG